TTAATTTTTCATATATAAAAACCTTTTTTTAAATTTGCTAATAAACTATCTAGTGTTTTGTCATGTAACAGAGTTTCCGCGAGACATGAAAATTTAAAAAAAATGGTAACGAAAATAAAACAAATGTTGAAATTTAATTTCTGTGTAACCACCACTAAAAATTGTTTTCCAAAGAAAGTATATAAACATGAAAATTCCATATTCTTTTCCACTGAAGCAGTGTTTCCCAAAGTGGGGTACGCATTCTAATGCGAAATATCTTGCAACAACCGAAAATTCACAAAATTTTATTTAAAAGCAAAGCTAGTCATGAAAATTTACGATTACTTATTTTTCTATTGGCTGATTTTTGCAGAGTTAACAGTTAATAATTAGTGGTGTCAACAGCCAGTTGCGATTTTTAACTATTGTGCAATTTTTTTTGTGGTAAAAAATACATTCATTTTTTTTATTAGTAGTACACAGTTTTGTGAAAAATTTAGAAAGGGTACACGAAAGTCATAAGTTTGGGAAACACTGCACTGAAGGATAAAGTGGTATATAAAAATAAGAAATGTCTTCTAGCATTAACTACCACTACTAAAAATTTTCAAGGAATGCTGGAATCCTGTGTAACTACGCATGATCGTATAACACAGTTATAACAGTCTTAAAATCATTTGAGAAATTTTTAAAAGAACAGAAATAATTTTAACTGTCTACACTAGTTTTCCTCATCCCGATATTAAAACAAACATTAGTAACATTGACTGAGACACAAAAAAAGATGTAGGAAATTACGATTTAAAATATTGATGCAAATTTGGTCAACATTGTTACATCAACTTATCAAATTTTAGATGCATAGTTTTAGTTTTTTTTTAAATTAAAAAAATTATAATTACTCGTATTTAAACAAATAGCTATGTCTCATTTCTCAGATGCTAAAATTGACATTGCTAATTGTTAAAGGTAAAACTAAAAAGAAACTTATAGCTCCATGGATCTAGTAATTTCAAACATGAGAATCAAAACTACAGTTAGAATTTCTACAAGTTCAATGCATTTATAGGACGAAACAAGCACTTCATACCTGCGAACTTTTAATCCCTTCCATTATCATTTTTCCCAGTGGTATTAAAATGAAATTAAAACTTCAATTTTAAGCAAACAAATACGTTGCATTTGAAAAAACTTAAGTTGACAACCATGATAGTAACGCATATTAATATATGGGCTTAATTTTTGTAAGAATAGTGGTGATCAAAATCATTTAAAAATTAAGTTTATAAAAGAAAAAATAGTATATATTTACTACCACTTTAAATATGAAAATAAAATCTTCCGGAAAATCCGGAAGAGTTGGCCGGTAAGGCCACTTGAATGCTTCGCTATGCAAAGCATAAATTATTGGGATAATAAAATATACAAACGAATAAAAAATTGATAAAAGGTGCGAGTCAAAATTTAAAAGCATAGCTCCATCTTTGTTTTATAAAATTGCAAAAATTTATTATTACTTAACGAGAGATGCCTACCTGCTCCGGACAGCGAATAAATATTATCGAGTGGTAGTTTATTAATTGTGATTATTTGTTTAATAAATTCAATTTATTAGATTGTAATCTACCACTGTTTCTAAATAATTCGTAGGCTTATATAAATATCACCTTATCGCAGTAAATCATGTTAAACATGTTAAAAAGTAAGCAAAATTAGTCAAATATTAGCAAATTTTAATTTGCAGTTATTTACCGTTTTTAAAATTATTATGGCGTGTCCGGAGCAGTTAGCATCTCCGCTTAACTGATGGTAATGTCTCAATTCACATATATTAATTCTGGCTTTGCTACATTGTTAGAGGTAAAATTGAAAAAGAAATTATAGTTCCACAGATCTTGCGATTTAAAACATGTGTATCAAAACTAAAGTTAGAGTTTCTAAATATTCATTGTCTTTTATAGGACGCTGTGATCAATGGTCAAACTAAGCATTTGGATACTTTAATATGTAAAGCATAAATTTTTATTGGGAAAATAAAATATAAAAACAAATAAAAAAATTTATATAAGGAGCGTGTCAAAATTTTGATGCTATCTTTGTTTAAAAAATTTCAAAAATCATTATTACTAATACTAAAATTATTATTACTAATACTAAAATTATTATTACTAATTCACAAATATTAAATTCGACATAGCTACATTGTTTGAGGTAAAACTGAAAAGAAATTATAGTTCCAGAGCTCTTGCAATTTCACTTATGTGTATCAAAACTTTGTACTAAAAGACCATTGTATTAAAAAGACGACATGGCTATTTGCTAAAATGAACATTTTGATATTGATATAGTAAGACAGAAACTTTTGGGATCATAAAATGAAGAAAAAAATTATAAAAACGACATCAAAATTGAAAGAAGCCTAGTTTCGCGTTTATTCAATAAATTTGTGAAAATTAGTATTACTTAAACTAATAGCAAGGTCTAAATTTTACATCACTTCTGTGTTAGGGTTAAACATATTGTTCCATGGTACTTGCCATTTTAATTATGTGTATCAAAACTTTATTCTAAAAGACCACTGTATTAAAAAGACGATATGACTATAGGCCTAAAGGAGCATTATAATATTGGTACAGTAAGACAAAAACTATTGGGAACATAAATTAAAAATAAAGATGATAAAAACGAATAAAAAATCAATAAAAGTATAATTTCACGTTTGTTGAATAATGTGAAAATTAGAATTACTTAAACTAATAGCAATGTCTAAATCTACAGATAATAAATTCGATATTGCTACATTGTTAGGGGTAAACTTATTGCTCCATGGTTCTTGCGATTTCAATTATGTGTATCAAAACTTTATACTGAAAGACCACTGTATTAAAAAGACGATATGGCTATTGGCTAAAATGAATATTATGATATTGATATAGTAAGACAAAAACTATTGGGAACATAATGTTTAAAAAAAATGGTAAAAGCGAATAAAAATTGATAAAAGCCTAGTTACACGTTAATTCAATAAATTTGTGAAAATTAGTATTACTTAAATTAATAGCAATGTCAATCTGCAGATATTAAATTTGACATTGCTACATTGTTAGGGGTAAACTTATTGTTCCATGGTTCTTGCGATTTCAATTATGTGTATCAAAACTGGACATGAAAAGCAAACGAAAGACCGATCTGGTCATTAATTTCGAACGAGAGCATCGCGTGTCAACTGAAATAATGATCGTCACGCCCCAGACTACCTACTGCAAACAAACCCACGTGGGTAACACTGTAATTTGCGCCCTCAGTTCGATATTGAGCGGTAGTGGCCCCGGTTGCTAGGGCTTTCCTGTACCTCCTGAAGAGGTAAAATTGAACAGCTCCTCTTCCGCGGAATTCTGGTCTAGCTGTTAACGCCACGTTTCAAACCGGAAACAGTAAAAAAAAAGGAGAGAGGAAACGGGATTGCTTTTATTAATTCCTGTTTTTCGCAATATGCTTCGACGATGAAGAAACGTGTGGTTTTGTGGGATTATATTTGTTCATAAAAAGAGTTATTAGTTCCGTTTTGGACTAGAAGGGATATAATTATGTTATATTTTATTAAGATAGCTTCCTTTATTATGAAGTAATATGTTGTATTTTAATAATTATGTGGGGCATAGACTGTCTAACAGTACTCATTTCTTCAGTTTAACTAACTGCACGATAATCTGACACATACCAGTGGTCGCAGCATCCGATTAAAAATAAAAAAGTGGTAGGAGACTTAGAATAATTGTTTTTCTTATTTTTCTAATAAATATTTTTGTAACTACCACGACATTTTAACCCAGCTAGATTAAACAGACCAGACCTTCAAAATAAAATTTTAACTGTAAATATTTGTAAACTTTTGATAATATGTGAACTTTCTTTTGCCAGTTTAAAGCAAATTGGCTACAACTTTTCAATTTACATTGAACGCTGCCTCCCCCCTCTACTGAATAAAATTTTGACAGTAAAAGCCCTCTTACAAAAATATTTTAAATTCAATCATTTATATGAAAGCTGAAATAAATATATTCATTAAAATGATGAGCATATTATGGCTATAATGGGTCACTCGAGAAGAAGAAGACCACTGATTCACAAACCACCTGACCTATAATTTCATCACAAAATAAGATGGCGTTACAACCTTATTTTATTGTAGACTTCTTTTCGTAATTAAAGGAAAATTAATAACTTATTTATCTTGCTTTGCTAAGTATTAGTTTAATTTTTAATTAATTTACAGGAATTCATTAGTTAAATAATAATCACACGTTGCAAAAATCGAATACTGGATCACGTATCGAACTCACATTTGACGGACCAGGCTATATCGAAATAGAATGGAAAGAATAGTTGCTAACATAAACAAATGCCATGTTTCAACAGCCAATCAGGATCGATAACTTATGAAGACGTTACTTGCGGATATCCACTTACTAATGGCCACTTACTAGTTGCTGGCAATTTTATTTAAAATGAAAACGAATAAAAACGTTGCCTGCCATAGTAAAAAAACATGGATGATCATGGATACTTAAATAATAATAAAAATAGCATTATTGTAATTTATATTAAAAAAATTATTGTGATAAATACTTTCAAGGATATAGCGGACCACAAAAATTTAAAATGTGTTATCAAAAATGAAACAATCGTCAATATTTTATGCGTTGTGTATTTTTTCTTCAGATCTTAAACACTACATGTTTATTTATTTTTTTTAAAAAATTCCCTTATTCTTTTTTTATTGGCTTTTTTGTATAAAATTTCTTATTAAAAAATAGCTTTTATTTTATTGAATTTTATTCAAAGCGGTTCAGACATAGGTTAAAAAAAAGATTTAATAAGAAAAAAGCAAGGAAAAAATGTTATTTATAAATTTAATAAAACTGCAATTTTTTACAAATTTTTAGCTCCACAACAACGACGATTATACACCCGATCCAAAATGACAAATACAGATTATGTTAGCAATCTCTACTTACCGGGCATTTTGACGTCGGGATCGAACTGTTTGGCGATTTGTCTGGCGATGTTCGAATCCTCTTGAGAATGGAAAGCTGAGAGGTCAGCTTGCTCGGATTTACCTCGAGCTGTAGCTGTCCTAGAAGTATTAGATTTGAATTTAAAAACAGAAAATCAAAAGTGTATAAAAATAAACTCATGTTTGTGAAAATTGCAACACCATTAATTTAATTATTCAATCGTATTTACTACAATGACTTACATTGCAGGTTATTAATTTAATTATTCATTCGTATTTACTACAATGACCTACATTGTAAATTATTTATACTTAAAACTGAATCATACTTTGCCGGCAGAAATATGCTAAAAAAAATTGCTAATTTTAATCTCGTTTAATAAATTTTACATTTTTAAACGCCTGCGGCATGTGTGCATTTGATAACTACAATTCTTATGGATCTTGAAATCCAGTTTTTTGTTTCACCTTTTATGCTTAGCAAAGGGCTTAAAAAAAAGAAAAAAGATGCAGAAATAGAAATAACAAATGATTCAATCTTAATATATGATGTGTTTTAAGGTGGGTTTTTTCTTAATTAGTTACAATTTAAGGCTTTTTTTTAAAAAAAATCGCCATGATATTAGACTGATGTAAATAGATTTATATTAATAATATCGCTGGTTCAAAAGTAAAACGACACATCTTCAGGCATAATACGTTTGCAGATGTGTCGTTTTAGTTTTGAACCAGCGATATGTTATACGTGTTCATTAACGGCATAGGTTTTGCAAAATAAATGCAAAGAACAAAACACACCAGTTAAAATTTATCTCTTTGTGAAAAGGACTTGTTCCTTAACACGTTGATCGCCACGCTAATTTTACATGACTTGCCCATCTGGCCACGGTATATAACTACAAACTAAATTGCAAATATAGACGGATTTTACAATTTTTTAGAAAGTTTATCATTACATGTCTGACAAAAGTGGTGAATTACGTAAGCCATGCGAATCGTTTAAAAATAGTGGTGGATAAAAATCTACTAAATTGAATTTATTAATCCAAGAACAAGGGTGAAAGCGAGACGGAAAAGAGGAAAGGCTGGTAGTAAAACCATTTCAGTTATGGCTAGTTTTGGGGAGGAGTTTACTTATTCTTTTTTAAAATTTTTCAACAATATCTACTTTATCTTGGAAAAGAAGCAGTTTTATATATATGCCAGAATTATAAAAGAAATCTTGATAGTTACAGAGATTTCATTTTTTTCGAAAAAAATGCTGGAATGAAATGTTTTACGTACCAGGTTTTTCTCTTTTCCGTCTTGCTATATAAGGGCTTTCACCCATATCCAAGAATCACATTGAACATCACATTGAGAATCACATGTTGAATTAAGTAAATTTTGAATAAATTTTCTGCAATTCCATAAAAGAGTGAAAATTTTATAGTTCTATATCATGTTATAAAGTGTCAGCTAGCTGTTTTTCCTGGCCTATGTGAGAGGTCAGTGTCAGCAAGCGGTGGTAGACGCAGCCTAAATATATTTTCAGTGTCAGCCACCGATGGTTGACGCGTTCTAAATGTAATTTCAGTGTCAGTTACCGGTGGCTCACGCGGCCTAAATGGAAAGTCCAGCGTAAGTCACCGATGACAGACGCGGTGCTCAACGTGTTAAACGGCAATATTAGCACCTAACAGGTTAATAAGAGTTTCGTAACTTGAAATCGTTGAATATCTTTTAAAGAATCGGATTTTTTTTTAAAAATTCCGTGCTACTTTTCTAACTAATAATATTAACAAATTAATTTTCAAATAACTGGGAATGTTTTCACGCATTAGTATTTTCAAAAAATATTGATTCTAGCCTTCCTATTTGTCTTTCTACACCAATTTTCCTTATAAACACAATTTTTAAAATGATCAAATAAAATATTTTTGTTGAATAAATTGTTTTTATTTATAGTAGATTGATTAATTGATAAAATACTTAATGTTTCTTCTAATATTAGATACAAACTGACATTTTTAACATGCTCTATTACATATAAGTGTTTTAATTAAAATATGTCAAATATTTTTTTTCCGACAAGGTTTAGAGTAAAATTAATTACATTTTGACTTCAGATATCTGAGTCGTAATAAACGACTGCTTAACTTTTTGCTACCGGCGGTACAACATGTGGACCACGTGTGATGGTACAGCATAACACGCTGTAAGCAAAGGGTTAATTAGTTATCACGTTTGTACACACTTGTCTCCATAGCACACTCCCACTACATGGGGTTAGAGTGGACAGAAAGCAACCTTTAAAAAAATTATTATGGAAAAACTAAACAACTTTGCGATTCAAGACGCAACCATAATGCAGGTAAACCAAACTATTGTTAAAAAATAATATTTAATGATTTAAAAGTATATACTATATATATATGCTCAAAATGAAGAATAAAACAAAGAAAAATAATAGACAAATTAAAAAAAAGGGGGGGGGAAATAATAAGTAAAAAAAATAACAAACAACAGTTTAAGGAAAAAAAAAAGGTGAAATTTTATTTAAAAAAAACGGGAAAAAAAAGATATAATCTTTTCTTCAGCCCACACGATTATATCCGCAAAACAGAGTGCTTTCTGATATTGTATCAATAAAGCCGAAGCAAAATATATTAATACAATAGTGTGAGGAGCACTCAAAATTTTTTTAAAAAAATAACAGCAAATAAAATAGATCACAAAAATAAAAATAAGTAACATGTAAAAACGGAAAATAAAATAAAAGAAAAAAACATTAAAAAGGGGACTATAAAGCGAGTAGCAAAATCAGATCAACTTACATGGACAGAAAATTTTTCAAGAATGATTTAAAAATGCTTTCGCAGAAGGATTGCCAGATTACAAAATATGAAAACAAAAGATGAAAACAAAAGCGCAAATTGAGTGTAACAAAAGGGTTCTAAAGTGTCGTTCTTACTGCACTGCTGAAGTGATTTGTTATTCTGAGTTTTGATTTGTTAGTTACCAAGGATGGGCCCGAAATGGATGTGCACAAGGTAATATTATACTGGATAATTTTAAAAATTGATCATAAATAGTTTTAGAAGATAGATGTTTATTTAAGAAAAAATATAAAATAGAAAAGAGAAACATAAATTGCCTGCTTTGCAAATAATTTTAGCCGCGGATTTGCACGATATGGATTAGTACATAGAAAAATTATTTAAATTATCAAAGAAAAAATTTTAATAGATAATTTTAAACACGGATTTGCCCGAAATGGATTTGCACATGGAAAAATTAACAAAGAAAAAATTTTAGCAGATAATTTTAACCACGGATTTGCCCGAAATGGATTTGCACATGGAATTGTATAAATTAATAAAGAAATTTTTAGCAAACAATTTATCCACGGATTTGCCCGAAATGGATTTGCACATGGAAAAACTGTATAGATTAACAAGGGAAATTATTTAGCAAAGGAATTTTTAGTAAATAATTCTAACCACGGATTTGCCCGAAATGGATTTGCACATGGAAAGATTAACAAAGAAAAAATTTTAGTACATAATTATAGCCACGGATTTGCCCGAAATGGATTTGCACATGGAAAAATTACATAAATTAACAAAGAAATTATTTAGTAAATAATTTTGGCAATGAATTTTGGCCTGAAATGGATTTGCACATGGGAAAATCATAAAAATTAACAAAAAAATGTTTAGAAAATATATCCACCAAAATATACGATTAATTCAATGATTTTATATAAAATTTTATTACATTAGTTGGGTATCCATTGTTTTTTATCAAATTTTGAAAGAGTTTATCGATTTGTTTTTTGGATAAATAAATATTACTACATATTCTTTTAATTCTGTTCATTTCATTAAAAGTGGTATTTAAATAGATGCTCCTAGAAACATTAGAATTCCAAGAACATTAGAATATACATCGGATCTATAATCTTCCGGAATTTCCCCTAGATAATAGTGCAATATGCAGACACATTTTAATGCCTACATGGAAATTGTAGCGTTTTGGTGTTTTTCAAATTTTTTTTTTTAATAGACGCTCTTTTGGATATTTCGAAAATGTGGCTTATTATTATATTATCACAAGCCTCCACACGGTATTTTATAAGCAGTCTGCGCAGACTATTTAAAAATTGAACCAGTTGCGCGCATGAATCCAAATTCTTTTTTAAATGTAATTGATAAAGGTGATTGATTTTATCATATATATATTTGAGAATTGAATCTGTAGTGTTTGACGAGTAAGTAAGACAAACCAAAAATTAAGCAAATTTTTAGACATATATTTGCTACCACTTTCTAATTTATAATAGATTTTCTATTAAACGGCTTTTACGGAAACTCGTGCGCCTTTATAGTGATCTGATCAGACTACCTATAAAAAACCGTGTGGAGGCTTTTAGTTATATAATAAATTCGAGCTTGTAAAAAACCAAAGGCATACCTTGATATCGCAATGTCAGCCTTTTGTAGAGCTATCTGAGAGGCCCTGTGGGAAGCATTGACTGCTGCATCTATCCTTTCCTTGAACTTAGCAGATCTCAACATGAATAGATGTTTCTTTTTGCCAGATGACACTAGGACATTGTTCTTGTATTTACCCTCCTCCCTTGTTCCGTCCTTGAGTGTCGTCACCCCGTAGCCATATTTCTTGTTGTTGTACCTAAACATAAATAAAATACTAATTTGCAAAAATCACACGTAAAAGATGAAAATACAAAAATTCTGGTATCAATGGTAACTCATTGGATGCAGCACTCCCCTAGCAGCAAAATAACTTGGGCTCTCATTTGACCAATATTCACGAATCTAGGCTCAATAAGGGTTCAGAGGGCGGTTATTTTCCCGATATTGGGCCTGCATAGAATTGTCCTATTCACCCGTTATTTTACAGTCTCTTTACAACCAATACAGGCCCTATATAAAATTGTCAGATTCCCTCGATATTTTCTATTTATTTTCTATTAATTTTTTATATTTTTGGGTTTCTCTCTCCAAGTAACACGAATGCTGGTTAGTTCGATCAAAAATATGGGTAGGTTAGTTTGTTCCAATGTTTGATCTAGGAGTTCCCCTGTCTTCTGCGTTGGGATCAAAATCACAAGGAAACGAAGTTGAACATTGAGAGTCGTCAAAGCAGGTTAGCAGTTCAAAGCTGGTTATAAGCGCCGGAAATTTATCAAACACTTCTCAGTTTGGGTGCAATGAAAAGAAGTCCTACAATATTTTCTTGATTAAGAGATACTTTGACAAAATTTTTTATTAAGCACCGCAGTGTGTTTCGTTGCAAGCCTCGTTATCACCGAGTTAAGCAGTTTATCAAGATAAGAGGGGTATGAGTCTATCAATAGTCAAGTCCGAGCCGTGTATTTTTGAACCCAATCCAGAAGACAAGAAAACTCGCAAATCAACCATTAAGACTCACTCACTTTCGAAGGTTTTTTTTCTGGAGCTAAGCTGACCAACTTTTGCGTGATATGCAGATGAAAACCACGAAAACCTCCCACAGTTAGCTTGACGTCAAGGAGACGATCCACCAATGAGGATATTTTTTGTCAGCATTGTGGTTGGAAAGAGCCAGATGAACTATAGAAATTGACCAGCCTTTGCTGGTATTCAAACAAGAGCATACCTGCCAACTTTTAATCCCTTCCATTATTATTTTTCCCAGTGGTATGAAAATGGAATTAAAACTTCAATTTTAAGCAAACAAATACGTTTTATTTGAGAAAACTTAAGTTAACAACCAAGACAGTAACGCATATTAATATAAGTGCTTAATTTTTGTAAGAATAGTGGTGATCAATATCATTTAAAAATTAAGATTATAAACGAAAAAATAGTATATAATTACTACCACTTTAAATATGAAAATAAAATCTTCCGGAAAATTCGGAAGAGTAGGCAGGTATGCTAGAGTCGTCACATTGAGAGGCAAATACTCTGTATTCCGAAACTTTCCTGCTCTTGTTAACGCTATTCAATGAATCTTGTAAGTTAATTAAAATTAAAAAATGTACATAAAAACTTAAAATTGTTGTGTAAACTTTTAAAAACATTGATAGCATTTTAAGATTTTAATCCGTTATTAAAAATGCAAATCAAAATATGTTTAGTACCAAAAACATACGTTTTGGGCATAATGAATTGTATATAATATTCTAAAATAGCTTAAAAATTTATATTTTTATATACAATTATATTGTATTATTATATGTTAAATAAAATTATATATTATTATACATTATATAATTATATACAATTATACATTATTACATATTAAATAAAATTATATATATTATATAATTATATGCAATTGGGTATACATTATTATTATATTTAACATATAATATCCATTCTAGGATATTATAGTATAGCGTGATTGAATTTTCCTGGAGTAGCCCACCCCGTGGCGATTTTTTGTAACCTCGCCAAGCGATTTTTTGAAATCTCGAAGAACTAGGTTTCTGGAAGATATTTCGGGAAGATATATTGCAACTTTATTGCAAGTTTTTTTTAATTTTATTTTATTAAAAATATTTTAATAATTTAAACTGTTTTTTAATAATAAAAAAATAACTTTGATCCAAGACATAATCGCCAACTTTCCTAGATTTCAAAAAGTCGCCAAGAGGTGGGCTATTCTCGGATTTTATCCACTTTTTGTTCTAATGGCTAAAAAAAAATGGAGACTTACCACTCTCCTTCGTATTTCAATCCATCGGATCGTTCTGCAATTCCGAAACCGCATCTCCTGTCGTTTTTCCACTCCCCCAAGTATGTCTCAGTGACGGCAGTATCGCAAAGTTCATCCTGACTCACGAAGCTCACGTTGCTGTCCGTATGGATAGACCCACCTTGGCTGTGGGCCACCCCCGAGTGACTCGACTCAGAGCTCGCAGAACTCAGATTAGAACCCGAGCTCCGGATCGAGCTCACTCCCCGGCGGTCGATGTCCTCTGTACTTCTCTGCTTCTTGATCTTGAGGCCCTGAGAATGAACAAATATTCTTATTAAGAATCATACTTGCAATCACAAGTATGACTCTTAAATCATACTGTTGCAGGAGATAATTCAAGTGGCAGCAAAATAACAGTTAAGATAAACAGAAGTGTTTTATTTTCGTTTGCTTTTAACCCATCCCGGACTGTTGAAGCAAAAAGGCATTTATTAGTGTTATAAAAAATGACTTTATTAAAAGAGGCATAAAAAAGAATAGAAGAATGTGTACAAATATTATCACAATGAATCATAGTTGCCAACTCTGGAGATATTTAAAGTGGTAACATAATAACAGTTAAGGTGAACATAAATGTTTCATTTTCGTTTGCACTTAACCTATTCTGAATTGCTAAATATTTTGTAGTGCTTTTAAAGAGTGCTTTGATGAAAGAAGGCACATAAGAATTAAGGACTATGTACTAATATCATTGCAAAGAATCATAGTTGCCAACAATATAAATATTTAAAATGATTCTTGAATTAAATGAAATTTTAAATCAAATTTACAATACAATTTTATATTAAAACAAAAAGTTTTCGAAAAAACGTAGAAAGGTGGCAAAACTTGCTTTCTATTAAAAACCATTTAATTTTTAAAACATCAACGTGTGCTGATTCAGAATTGATATAGGTATTTATTTTTGCAATATATTATTGTATACAGAACTAAGTTTGTTCTATAAAATAAATCCTATTAATGAAACAGCTGCTCAACTATTTAATTCTTTTTATTAAAATTAACCGTCCTTTTAAAAGGACACTACATTTAATAGTCCGAGAAGCAGTTTCGTGACAGCTGTTTTTGATGAAATAATTTGTTTAAATTAAATTAACGCTCATATATTACTTAAATTAAATAGTAAGAAAAAACAGTTTCGTAAAAAAATGCATTGGGTGATATAAGCTCACCGGACAAAAAATTAGTCACCCTAGTGCGCAAACACCGATGAATCCTTAGGCTTCGTTAGATGACGCAGTGGTCAAGTGACGTGCTCAACTGCATGCACACTGCTTCAACCTGATCAAAGACAAGTAGCTATCAGTGAGATATTTTTGTTTGAAGCGGAAATTGTGTGTAAATATGGGTAAGAGTAAAGATGTGATAGAGTGGTAAAAAGGGGCAATTGTGTTTGGCCGTGCCAATGGTCATATGGTGAATAAAGTTTCTGAATTTCTGGGGGTTTCAAAGCTGACTGTTCAACGCGTCTACAAGCAGTGGTGTAATATACGTGGTCACGAAAGACGCCGTCAGAATTGTGGTCGGAAAAAGATCCTGCATGAAAGTGACCGGAGACGCGTTTCACGACTTTTCAATCAAAATCGCTTTCAAACTAGACAGGAATTACTTCAGTTACTAAATTAAGATCGATCCCAGTCTTTTAGTGAGAAAAAATTGCGAATGGAGCTGCATGCAATGAACATATGGAGTCGAACATCTCGTAAGAGGTCATTGCTCGCACTCGCACGTAAAGCTGCGCGACTTCAGTGGGCTAGAAGTCACCGAACATGGGCAGTTGCTGACTGGCAGAATGTAATATGGTCTGAAGAATCACGTTTTTGCATTTATTCAAAAGATGCACGTCTGCAAGTGCAACGCAGACCAGATGAAGCATTTCATCCTGACTGTGTGCAATCATAGGTTCAAGCCGGAGGTGGGTCTGTCATGACTTATTTTCTTATGACGTGTTTTTCTTATTATGGATTGGGCTCCTAACTGAGGGGGCCACTAACATGATCCAACATATTTATTTGAAAGTTCTGGATAATTAGGAGTTGCCTTTCAGTCACCCTCTTCATGTAAAGTGTGTTGTTGATACCCCTATTTTTCAAGATGACAACAGCAAAGTTCATGGGGAAGGAAGTATATGTCACTGGTTTCATGAACACTCAGACACTCAATTACATCTCGGCTGGCCAGCAAAATCACCTGACTTGAGCCCTATTGAAAATTTGTGCGACATGTTGGAACAACGGGTAAAACGCCAAAATCAGCATTCTCACAATTTGGTGAATTTGCGCGATCAAATCCTCAACGAGGGGCTTAAACTGGATTCGACGTACTTGCAAAACCTTGTGGGCTCACTTCTTAACCGAATCCAGGCGGTCATCAAATCTAAAGACGGTGTTACACGTTATTAAATGATCTTTTTCATGATTTCTCTAAGGGTGACAAATTTTTTGTCNTGCGCGACTTCAGTGGGCTAGAAGTCACCGAACATGGGCAGTTGCTGACTGGCAGAATGTAATATGGTCTGAAGAATCACGTTTTTGCATTTATTCAAAAGAAGCACGTCTGCAAGTGCAACGCAGACCAGATGAAGCATTTCATCCTGACTGTGTGCAAGCATAGGTTCAAGCCGGAGGTGGGTCTGTCATGACTTGGGGGTGTTTTTCTTATTATGGATTGGGCTCCTAACTGAGGGGGCCACTAACATGATCCAACATATTTATTTGAAAGTTCTGGACAATTAGGAGTTGCCCTTCAGTCACCCTCTTCATGTAAAGTGTGTTGTTGATACCCCTATTTTTCAAGATGACAACAGCAAAGTTCATGGGGAAGGACTGGTTTTATGAACACTCAGACACTCAATTACATCTCGACTGGCCAGCAAAATCACCTGACTTGAACCCCATTGAAAATTTGTGCGACATGTTGGAATAACGGGTAAAACGCCAAAATCAGCATTCTCACAATTTGGTGAATTTGCGCGATCAAATCCTCAACGGGGCTTAAACTGGATTCGTCGTACTTGCAAAACCTTGTGGGCTCACTTCCTAACCGAATCCAGGCGGTCATCAAATCTAAAGACGGCGTTACACGTTATTAAATGATCTTTTTCATGATTTCTCTAAGGGTGACAAATTTTTTGTCTGGTGAGCTTATAATGCAAGTTTAAATTAGCTTTTAACCAGCAAAGTTACAGCAGAATTTATCTGAATTACCATTTCAGAGTTGCCAGCTCTGAAATTCTATCTTACTGCAAAACCAGGGATGTCGTGTGTGACTAAAAATGTAAAGAATAGTAAAAATCTATTAAATAATCTAATAACTAATAAATAGAAAAAATCTATTAAAATAAGCAAATTTTTCTAGCAGATGCCAGTTTGCTGTTGAAAGAGAATGCTAGAATGTTTCCGTTTGAAATATGAATAATTTGAAATGTAAGTCATGATGATAGCTTTCATTGAATAATTAAATAATTTAAATAAATAAAAATGAATTAAGTCTAAACTACTTCTTACATTTTTAATGGTCCATGACACCCTGCAATACTTATACTTGTAGTGAAAAAACAAGTAAGTGTGTTCAGAATTTTGTCAGCACATAAAAATTTCATAATATCAGGATATCTTTGAATTGTTTAAATGTCGTGGTAGTCAAAATCATTTTAACTCAAATACTAAAATATAAAATGAACTACAACTTTAAATATTTAAGGAGAGTCTCCGGTTAAAAGCCGAAGTTGGCAGGTTTGCCATTTACGAAGATTAAGTTTAATTCTTCATTACTCCTAAAAACCATGTCACTGGTAGTTACTCCTAAAAACCATGTCACTGCCACGGTTTTGGGAGGAAAAAACTTAAAGGAATAAAAATATATCTCTTAACTCGTAGTTACAGCAACAATTCTTTTAATCAAAATATCTTTACAAATTCTTCATGGCAGGAGTTTTTCTATTGTTTCGAAAAAAATGGAGCGTTCTTCTTTCTTCTTTTTTATAAATAGGAAATGAACGTCCACTGCTATTTCGGGAAAGTTGTGTCCCTTGTTTATTATCCAGCATTTTACTTCATACTATAACCAGCGTTCAAAGCAGCAGCTTTATCGTTAGAATACAACCTAGAAAACAATGTAACTCATCTATCAAGCCCTGTACAAACTCCTAGAAGCAGACATTTTTCTGGCAAGAATAAGCCACTAAAATTTATCCTAAATTGGGGTGAGTCAGTACCAATCTGACGTTTGGAGAATTATCGGTCCCCAATTTCAGCATGGCCTTACATAAGTAGATAGGGGGATTGACCACCACAGGCTCTAGCGTAGACTCACAGGGAAGAATATTTCGCAAAAAGCGTATAGTTTGTCTAAAGTAAGAACTCACCAAGTCTTTCATCTGGACCAGTAGCGGTGACTATGACAACTTAGGTATAACTATTTCAAGTAGGGGTGTGGGGTCACTGTTTAGGACAAGTTTGGCTTGGGTCTGCGATAGAAAGGTAATATTTTTCTCCAGTCTATTATGTTAGCTTTAGAGTGCAGAGTAACTACCCTTTCTGAAATGCACTATTCTTGTTTCCACAGCAGCAGACGGCCTCAGACTTTATGGCGGGGAGAGTTCTTACCATAGACAAACTATATATGTTGGAGGGCATATGGGTAGTTAAAAATATCACGCTTGTAGTCGTTACCTGCAAGATGGACTTCTTGAGATTGGTGGACTTCTCTACGAGGGATCGTCTTCGGGCAGGTGGTTCGTCACTCCGGGATTTGAGAACAAATCCTCCCCGGAAGTCGTCGATTTTTCGATCTCGATCGCTGGCGGGATCCGCTTGTTCGCTCGCTGGGATCGACTGCAGGGACCCACGGACACTCTTCGGACGGTAGTGGGAGGCCAGTCCGAAGTTCGCACTTGTCCGCACTCCGTAACCGTGACGCATGCCTCGCATCCACTGACCCTGGAAAGTACCTGAAGAAGCAAATCAAATCGAATATTATTAATAAGAATAAAATTTCAGAACGAAACTTAGACTACAGAATTAAGTCAAATAGTGTGTGAGTTCACGTAAGAATTTTTATAGCTTTATAGGACTTAACCCGTTTTGTCCCGACTTTATATATTGAAANTTAGGTCATCAAAATCCGGGCTCTAATTATGACTGTTAAAATTAATTAAGTTCGTATTATTATTCTAGTTTAGGTGTCATTTCCTTTTGCGTTGGTGGATTTGCAAATATCCGTACTTATCACTTTTTCATCATATGTTTTTCATATTTAGAACACTTTTGAGACTAGGTATTAATTTCTTCGTGACGGGCGAGTCATATATGCATTTTCAGGGTGTCGATAATCAGGGTAAAAAAGATAAAACTGGTAGCCAAACTATTTTTATAGCAATTTATTTGTGGCCTGGGTAATAGTACTTTGCTTTATTTAATTCACCACTACTTAGTTCAAATTAAAAATTGAACAGTTACACTTTTAACACACAAGGATTGGATGTGCTAGATTTAAAGTGAAAGCAAAAATAAGTTTGTCAAATTAGCTGTGTCTTAACTTAAGTTACCACTTTTTATTTTTTACTATCCTGATTCCGAATCCGTACGAATACATTTACATAGCTGCCAACTCTTTCGCTTTTCCCGGAAGATTTTATTTCCTTATTTAAAGTGGCAGCGAAATTCATGTTATTCCGCTAAACTTTTTGAATTATTATAATAATTATAAATTAGTTTGACCACCACTACATATAAATGATTACAACAAATATATTAAAGCATATTAGTCATAACGAGAGCCAATTTCTACCTAATAACCAACATAATAGCCAATTTCAACCTTTTAAAATATAAATATATATTTTGAGGAAGATAGTTTTTCGGTAATTGTTTTACTACCACTTGGAAAATTCATTTTCGAAAAGAGTGAATGTTGGCAGGTATGCATTTATGACTCGCCAGTACCGAAAAGGTCAATGGGTTTATATATCTTCACGCGGTTTTAAAATTATGCTTTTGTGTTTCATTATAATCCACTTTGATTAAACTATTAATGTCCACAATTGTATTACCACTTTTTATCCCATAAAGATATTTCAGAGCGATGAAAAAAAGTCCCCCTCTGCACAAAATGGGCTATCCTAGAACATCATGGTTAAAGGACTAACATCAACGTTCTTTGTTAAAATATTTATTTTAACCGTTTAATCGTTTAATGTTAATCACTTCTTGACAAAACAAAGTTGTTCAACCAAATGCTATCATTACGAGATACACATTAAAAATAATCAATGGACACATGCTTTCTTTTTTATTAACTTTATTGACCGTTCGTAGAATAAACAACAGATGGGCTCTGGCAAATCGATATTATGTCTTTTGAAAGTGTATTGTTATTATAAGCTTTTGGCGTAATAAATTTGAGACACTGCTTACTTCATCGATAATCGCTTGCGATAAATTTTATTCGAAAGAAAAACGGTTTTAGTTTTGGGAACATTGTAAATGCACCCTCCTCTTTTACATGTACATAACCCTCCAACAGAATTTAGGAAGTAGCAGGAAATATTTTCTCTAGTAATAGAAAAGGTAATATATCAGTATTTTTAAAAAAAGTTAGAATTAAAAGAATTTTATCCTCCACTACATACGAATAAATTGTACAGATATATAAAAAAGTCAAAGTAATATAGCCGTAATAATGCCTATGCACAAAGTGTAGTTACGACTATTACTGGTTATAATGGTTATGTACGTTAATTAGTAATAGCACTTTTGCATTAAGTCTAGTGTGTCTGGAATAGCCTGGTTGATAGGGCGGTGGACTCGTGTTCGTGAGAACGGGACTTCGAATCCCACGGCCGAAGAAACCCCACGTATTAAATGGTGACTAGGTGCACGTTAAATCTGTCGGGGTCACAATGTCCTCTAAATTACCATACAAAACAATACTTGATCCATGAGTTCCCTTGTCTTCTGGATTGGGTTCAAAATTACAAGGCTACTGAGTCTAACATTAGTAGTCGTAAATCCAAAAATTGGGTCGGCTGTTCAACGACGGTTATAAAATAAGATAAAAATACCTCTGGGGTACTAAATTGGGGATTGATCGTTCTCTGGTTCAAGTCAAAATTACGATTTGTGGATAAGAAAAAGGGTCCACCCTGTAAAACGGGCAGTGACGAGTGTATGTGGTTGAATTATTGTTGTGTTTAGTATAATGTATGTGGTTAGTATAATTGGATATAGATGGCGCCACTGAAAAACAAGAAATGCACCTTCTGCCTTATATTAGCTTGGTTTCCTTAAGTTTCCAGAGGTTTTGCTGCGTTTACTAGTCTCATCACACCAGAACACGAACAAAATGGCGTTTTATATGAATGTAGGTGTGTCAAATAACTTGAAATCAACTTTACGATAAACGAATCATACATTAAATTAAAAAAAAAAAATTATGAATTTTTTTGCCTTGTATAATTTAGTTAAGCGATAACTATTAGAGGATTATGATTATTTTGTCATTAATTATGATTTTTTGCAGCAACATAGTCTTTACAGCTTAACTTATATCTGGAGATGAGCAGCACATCTAACTTTATTTAAATTTTGAATTAATTTTTGAATAGCTAATTAAATTGTAAATTTGTGGCTTTTTTAACGATTTTTTTTTATTCACGGCAAAAACTAGTCACTGAGAATTTGTAATTTGCAGCAGATATGTAGGGGAGAGTGGGGCCAATCGTAACAGGGTACGATTGTAACAGAGCAAAAATTTCGAGTGTCGGGTTCTAGATTTGGTTCCTAGGTGGCGCACAAGATGTATTTAATAAATCTACATATACACCCCTGCTGGCATCCATTTTTATGTACTTTTGAAAGAGTTGCATCACAAAAGATATTTTCCCGCTACATAAGTACTTTTTTTGGTATTAGAATATTATATTGTAACAAAGTAATTTTGTTTAAGGAAATAAAAATTATTCACCGAATGTGTAAGTGGACACCTTAATTAACATTTCAAAAATAAAGATTAGTTTTGTTAATTAACTAGCATTGTTTTTAACAAATNGTGACTAGGTGCACGTTAAATCTGTCGAGATCACAATGTCCTTTAAATTACCATACGAAACAATACTTGATCCATGAGTTCCCTTGTCTTCTGGATTGGGTTCAAAATTACAAGGCTACTGAGTCGAACATTAGTAGTCGTAAACCCAAAAATTGGGTCGGCTGTTCAACGACGGTTATAAAATAAGATGAAAATACCTCTGGGGTACTAAATTGGGGATTGATCATTCTCTGGTTCAAGTCAAAATTACGATTTGTGGATGAGAAAAAGTGTCCACCCTGTAAAACGGGCTGTGACGAGTGTATGTGGTTGAATTATTGTTGTGTTTAGTATAATGTATGTGGTTAGTATAATTGGATATAGATGGCGCCACTGAAAAACAAGAAATGCACCTTCTGAGTTATATTAGCTTGGTTTCCTTAAGTTTCCAGAGGTTTTGCTGCGTTTGCTAGTCTCATCACACCAGAACACGAACAAAGTGGCGTTTTATATGAATGAAGGTGTGTCAAATAACTTGAAATCAACTTTACGATAAAACGAATCATACATTAAGTTAAAAAGATTTCTTTACATTAATTTTTTTGCCCTGTATGATTTTGTTAAGCGAAAACTATTAGAGGATTATGATTATTGTCATTAATTATGATTTTTTGCAGCAACACAGTCTTTACAGCTTAACTTATATCTGGAGATAAGCAGCACATCTAACTTCATTTAAATTTTAAATTAATTTTTGAATAGCTAATTAAATTGTAAATTTGCGGCTTTTTCAGAATTTTTTTTTTTTTGATTCGCGGCAAAAACTAGTCGCTGTGAGAGTTGTAATTTGTATCAGATATGTACTCTATACCTGGAAACTTCAACTATTTTAGCCTTTCTTTAAACTTTAAATTAGTTTTGGAGTTATTGCATTTTAAAGTTAGCTATTTCATTTTTCTTTTTGATGAAATTCATTCAAGTCCCAAAATGTTAGCATGATTATACAGTCAGCTGCTTTCATTTATAAAATTAAAGTTGTTAGGGGTTTCAATGTTAATATTCATGTAAATGAATGAAGTTTGTTTAATATTATCTCTAAATGTTCGAAGTTTCATAATTCTCCCTCTGATTTATTTTCTATGTCCTCATAAAACAACCTTCTGACATAGGAAAATCATGCCAATATGCAACATGCATATGATTTTAGCAGTTTTTTTCCCTTTTACCGCGGGTAATAATAGCCACGGTGAGTGCAGGGTCACGAGTCACGAGTCACGAAGTACCTTAAAAAGCCTTTATAGTGACTGTAAATTTAACACGTTCACGCCGGGGTGACCCACCGGTGGGCCACGCTAGATTTTCTCATCTTGGCAGCGCACCGGAGTAAAAACTAGTATGAATAAATTTCATTTTTTAGTTTTTTTCCGGGAATAATAAAAATCAATAACTACCAATTGTTTTTAACGGATGCAATTTTTATATTGAATTGCTTCTTCGCCCTCATAAATTTATTTACAGCGAATTGTTATTGTTGAGAATAGATCAACTCCTCCCGAATATTATCTAATATAGAAATAGTTCTTCTACCAGTATTTTCACTTTTCCCGACGTGAACGTTTTAAGTTAATACTTGAAAGATCTTGCTGAGAACATGCAGTATTGAGCACAAATGCATTAAAGCAATAATGTTTGTTTAATTTTTGTTACCACATTTTATGAAAGTTTGAACACCCGTGGTAAACTTGGTGAGGTATTTATGGCGTAATAGTACATTGATTGAAATTTTTCGGGCACATTTCACAATTTATTTATTCAATTAAAATACTACAAGTCATTTCTTGTGCTTCCACTAATTTTATTTCAAATTTATTTTATAACCGTTGTTGAACAGCCGACCCAATTTTAGGTTTACGACTACTAATG